TTCAGCTAACCATTCTTTTGTATATGTTCAGTAAATTGTATTTCTCAACATCTAAATGCTGTTCCAAAACTTCTCCTCACTGCAAAGAATTTCTGAAACTTTTATTTATTTTATGGTGGCCTATAAGTTGTCACAGGTATTATATGCAACTTCCCCGATGTTACTAAAACCCCAAATTTCCAGAATAATCCTTGAAGACATGATCTCAGCTCTCAGACCTCGTGTTTGTGTTTTTAGTTTACAGGTACACTCATTAGAAATGTTCCATTCATTACTTTGATACAACATAGCCTAATCAGGTCATCATAACATATTTGCTGTTGCAAATGTATTCATTCAGTAATAAACCAGGAGACAGGGCTGCACACATTTCTCAAAATGAATATGGTTTTAGTTTGAGCACTTCATTTGCCCTTCACAAATATATATATAAAAACCTAAAAAGTCAAACCTTGACACTACAGCCATCCCAAACCCTCCACCCTCTCAATACCCTACAACCAGTGAACACTCAGCTCTGGTGTTCCAGCGTTCATCTATCTCTCCGTCTGTCTAAACCAACACATTTCAGTTATTTTCAGACATCTTAAGAATGATTTATAAAATCTGACAATCATCAATAATGCAAAGAACTGTAGTTGCGTATGTAACTCTTGTCTTAACGTCTCTCTACCAGCCAGCACCGGTTATTATTTCACTCACTCACTTATGTGAATGTAAATAATGAACGGTAGAGGAAGCTGTAAATCTGGACTAAACACAACACTTTGAACTAACAAGAAGTAGAAATAGTATTTCTTCTGTAGTAAGTTTCACACCCACAATCCTTCATCCTCCATACTGTCCACACTGCTTACAATTGACTGCTGTATTTATATGTTGGGGTGCTCATAGCTCAGAGCCAGAGTGTGTTGCTGATTTTTTTATTTTAAAAATGTAGGTCAAGTGGACAAAATGACTAGATTTAGATTTAGAAAGTTATTTTGTGATGTACACCATAAAATTGGACCAGAATCAATAGATGGTGTAATAAAGTAAATTTACTAACTCTACTTTTTTTACTAACTAAAAAGTGTTTTCAGTGTTAAGTTAATCTTGAAACCTACAGTTTGTCTGCTGAAGTTCCATTTCAGGAATCACAAAGCAGACTAAAACAAAGGAGCAGCCTGGCAGTATTTGCTGCCGTTAACGTCAGACACCATACGGCTCTAACAGACTCGACTGCTCCTCACCTTTTGGGTTGAGTGGGCACAGTGAGGGGCTTTTTCACACTACTGATCCACAACAAACTTGTACCTCAAAGGCTTTCCACACAGCTGAGGTAAACTGAAACTGGCCATATTGCCCAAACTGCTCACCATCCAGCAAAACGGACAATGTCAGTAGTTATGTGGGCCACACCCGCCCTGGTAGAGAGTTGTGCCTTAAAACAAGATGATTTAATTTCTTTTTATCTCTTATTGTGTTAACTTTTTGTCATTGCATGTGTACTTTCTGGTTTCACTATGATGCTTGCAGAAATTAAAAAGTTGCTTTATGGCCTCTGAGGAAAAAAACAATAGAGCTAAAAGAGATTCACGAGGGGACAGAAACATCAAATCTAACCCCTAAGCTTGAAAAACCATATTAGGCTTTCATATAATGTAATTGACTTGGTTTGGTTTGGATACCTCCGTATTGTATGTTATGATTGGATTGATCCATTGAGGCCCTGTGGCAAAACAGCCACTGATTAAAATTTGAAAATTAAAAAGGGAGAATTGTGCATAGCAGTGATATACTGGAGCTTAAGAGTCTCAATAGATAAACCAATCATGCCACATTGAATATCTGATGCTGTTTTAGTGTTTTTTCTTTGTCTTTATTTGGCCCGGGTGTTGGGATTTTCTTTGTTGCTGTCTTTGCCCATACGGTTCAAGCTGAAGTCAGGGCCGTGTGTTTGAGCTGCGAGTGCCTTACCTGGTGTCGGTACAGACATACACAAAGTAAGTCATCTATTATGGATGACCAGACGCGGCCAGTGGAGGACACTGTGGTCACCTTGTTGGATGTGAATGCTTTGAACCCTGCATGAGGAAGCCTCTAACTTTTGAACACTCCACATTATAAATACTGGAGTATGACTGGAAATTACTCACTTCTTGGTTCATCTTCAGTGCTACAATTGGAATAAAATGACTGAACCTGGTAAGATTATAGCCTGGCGGAAGTAACCGACAAAAATCTCTCTTCTGGCCACAGACCCCAACTTTGGTTCAGTTGATTGAACCTGATTCCCCTTTAGGATCAGGCCCATAATAAGTCTGGCTGGTCTTCAAGCCTAAAAACGCTGAAGCCCCAACTCATCCATTAGGCATAAACTCATGGAGGGCAGGGTGGCCAGGCAATGAACTGTGGCAGATTAGACGTTCTGCTTCCTGGCTGAGCCGACCTAGACGGGATGCGCAGGCCTGGGACCATTTCAAGACCATTTCGTGTGTTTGATAAAAACATGGCAACACCGCTGTAAAACACAACCCATGAGATTGATAACGGAAAGGCATGCTGTTACTGGAATGTAGAATGTGGCAACTATTTTGATTATTGCTTAAGTTATTTTTAAAGGAATATGATTGAGCTGTAGCTGTACTTCAACACTTTATCCGTGCAATGAGAGATGATTACTTTCAGGTTTTACCTTGAAATAAAGGGTTAGTTTCACCTACACGCTTAGAAGGCTGAACTATATTCTAATGGTTGCAATCTGCAACTTCTCTGCTAGTCACCACTAAATCCTAAACACTGGTCCTTCAATTTGTTTACAATCTTGACCTGGTTTTAGGGGCAAAAGTTGACAATCACGGTTAGCTCCTCGGTTGTCAAACCAAAATGATGGTCCAAGATCGGCCTGTGAGACATGTCCACTTATGGCAAACAAAGACAGAAAACTAAAAATTCAGATCAGCAATCAGCAAGCAACATGAAATGGTGCAGGATACACTGGCTGCCCTTTTTAAATAAAGTTCAAGCAAAAAAACAAAACAAAACAAAACCTGGGACTCGGTGAGGCAAACTGATGACATGTATAGCCCTACGATTCACACCACATTTAATAAAATCTTGGTTTCATGTCAGACTGAGATACCAATTTTAGACTAGTTTAACTATAGTGAACTAGACCAGTATTATCCTTTGTTTCATCATGATTCCTCCCTGCTGGCTGTTGCGTAACTATATACCAGAAAGGTTTCCTAAGATGTTGCTGAGACCTAAAGCAATTAAGACATTCACAGCTGTATCCCACTGCTTTCTTCCACATGTCTCCCAGACTTCTACCTGTGCTAACTGCTGGTGTCCTGCAGTCTCCTGAGACATACAATGGAAAGAGGTCCAGTGACAGGTGTGTGCTTGAGCTAAAAAGCCTGTAAAGCAGCCTTCACAGGACCCTTTTTTGTACCCACAAGGAACTGAACAAGTGACACGGCTTTGGATTTATAGGTCGGGGCCTCCAGCCGGGTGGCAAGCTGCAGCGGGGCCTGGGCAGCACAGCGGCAACACCGCTTCCATCTGTTGTCACGGTCTGCTCATATCTGCATGCTAATCCTTCTCTACCCCACACCTTCATGAAAACACCCTTGTGGCAGCGCTGCCACCGCAGCTCTTACAGGATGAGGAATTAGCAGTGCAGGGAGCACAAAGACATGGACCCGAGGTTGATGGGATGTGAAATGCAGATAGAGCGGGGAGTAGAAATGGGAGTAAAATAAAAGAGGTAAGAAGCACAACCTCCGCGCTGGCTATCTCATTTCCACATTAAAATGTTGTCACCCTGTGCGCCCGGTACATCGGCTTCATGTTTACTGTATGCAAAATATGCAGAGGATAGTCAAGGTCAGTTATTTGTTTCAAGGCCTCAAGATCGGTGACATTCAGCGGGTGTCGAAGCGCGGCTCCCTGCCCGCCGTTGAGCAGATGCAGCTGCTGGCAAAAAGTCTTCTCAAGCTGACTAATCATTTGTGTATGCAGCTATAATATGCTTTCAATGTCTGAAAATACATATCATCCATCAAAGCACGATTGTAATGTCTTTGGGCTGGAAAAGGGCACTGGGAGTAGGTGTGGCATATCTAAGATCTAATAAATATACATTTCCTCAGGCGAGAGGAGGAAGCTGCGAGATCTAAGGATTCATTTCCTACTCTGCCGACATAGCAGATAAGGTTTGATACAGTGCAGGGATGCTAAAAACTACATGTTGCAATTGAAATGTGGAACTTCATAAATACAGATTTTTTTTTCCCACTGCCTATAGTCTTAAAAATGTCTCTCCGACATAAAAGGGGTAAAAGTATACATTTATTTTTATGCTTTAATCAGTAGAAAATGCATTGCTTAAATACAGGAGTTCACCCTGGCTCCCTCTGTGTCTTTACAGTTGCATCACACCTGTACACTGTGTTGGACATGTCCGTGCCCTGTGGCAGGTGGTGTCCAATATGAACGAACCTGACAGATATCTTGTACATTTGGAACAAAGAAGAGTGATCATACCACTGTAAGACACCAAGATGTTCTGTAAATGGAACATTTTTACCTCTAAAACAGCCATTGTACCATGACAGACATCTGCAGGATTTATCTGCTCCCTAAAACGTTACTGTGAGAAAAGTGTGCAGTCAGCTGTTTCTTTTGGAATACACAGGGAAACAAAAACAAGAGGGAGGGACATGGTATCTTATCTCAAAGATGATATCTCTGAGAATGTTTCAGCTACAGGGAAAATAACTCAACCACACTAAAGGGCTTCATATATTTAAATCCATATCCATGTTAATGAAACAGGAAGAGAGAAAAGCAATTTCTCCTTTTTATCTATCATAAAAATTTTGCAAATGAAGTATTTTTGGCCAATTAAAAAGTTTCTTTTGACTGCATGTCAAAAGAAAAGATATCGTCATATGAGAGCGGATTCCATTTTTAGCTGCTTTGTGAACGTTCTGCCCGAGAACAGAGAGTTTTACCATGACGGAGATGTGCAGGATGCGGAGCTCCTCCTTCGCAGAATTGTTGGCCGGGTCTTCGGTTGGCTCCGGGAGGCTCAGGCCGCCGTCCTGGTGGTGGATGTGGAAGAGCAGAGTGCCATTCTCCAGCCACTGCTGCCTCCAGCGCACAAGAGGGATGTCCTCTGAATTCCCAGAGATCTCTGCCAGAGACAACGAGAGACAAAGGTTGTTTGCTGTTGCAGCACATTTACAGCCATTGCAGACATCATGAAGGATATCCACTGAAATTTGAACAATTTACCAGAAAAAAAACATCTCATGGAGTGGTGTTTAATTTCAGTAAATTGAAAGACACATGAGTTAATGTGATACAACTGAGTGTCTGCTGTTAATTTTAATAATAATTTCTTCCAGTTTGCAGGCTGTTTTGAACAGATTTTATTGTAACTGCCAACAAGGACAGGTGCTATTTCACATTTTTATATTATAGAGCAACGGGAGCAATTAAGAGACTGTCGGAGCGGAAACAGCTCATCAGTCATGTGAGTTAAATGTTGGCTATGTCAGAACTTTTTTCCAGAAAAAGTGTTCCCATTTCCCATTAAGCAGATTAACTCTTTTTCAAAAAGGCAAAAGAATGTTGTTTGAGTTTTTTCAAATGCTGTCATTTCCGTCAAATTTTTATAATGCGACTTCAAAATGTGCATAAAACCTGGTCCCTGGAAGAGGAGTCCTCCTGATTTTGGTGATCCATGACATTTCCTCTACTGCCAACCTTGAGGTTGACATTTTTGGTTTTCATTGATATGTCTCGGCAACCACTGTCTGGAATACCGTGGAATTTGGTACAGATATTAATGCTCCCCAGATGATGACTCCTAATGACTTTGGTGACCCCTTACATTTTATCTAGTGGTTGAAGTTTTCTCTTCTCCAGTAAAATATCTCAACATCTACCAGAGAAGTTGGCACAGTATTTAGTACTATTGACCAGACAGTGTACCTAATGTATGCATCCTCTGACTTTTTACTCTTTGACTCTTTTTATGTAGCAACACCATGAGGTCATGCTAGACATGCAGTTGTACCTCGTGTTTAGTGCTGGCATGCTAACACTTGATTTAACCAAGGTGGTAAACATCATACCTTTTTACATCATACATTTATCCGCATGTTTACAATGATTATTTAGGTAGGAGAAAAAATAGACATCAAAACTCTTTTGCACTTCTTTTGCAAAAAACAATCTTAGGGTGCGAGGTTGAATGATCAAATGGTGGTCAAATGCATTCATGGGTAGTCAGTGCCATCCTGCACCCCTGCCTATACCTGAAACCCCTCTATGAGCTGAGTTTATATCCATGTTGGGAGGAACAAAAATTACAACAAATGATTAAACTCCAAAGATAAAGATGAGTAAACAGTGATTTTTATGGAAGCAGCGGAGCACAAGAAGCACTGTGCTTTGTGTCAGACTTTCCACTCCGCGCTCTTTGAAGTATTAGTTATGTACGCCAAAACTCACACGGTGCAAAAATGGAAAAACATTATAAATGCATGACAGAGCTTTATGAGTGATTTTCTTTCTTCTGTTATGCAAGTGTGAAGAGTGGCAAAGATGCATCAGGCTCATAAGTCATGAGAAGCTCTGGCTGGAAGACATAAAGTGAAACAGAGATCATAGAAAGTGCAACCCAGACTCCAGACTCAATCCCATCCCCAACTCTACAAACAAACTGCTTCAGTAGGTTGCAGCTGGAACTGATGTTCTCGGCCGAAGTTTGTAATGACACTGGAGTTGAAATCAGCAAGCAATGATTTGTTTATTTGCAGGTCAAAGGATGTCTAGACCAGGCTACGCAGGTCTTAACTGTACATAGACATCATATGTAACATAGAAATACATTTGCAACCAAATTGAAGCTAGACATATAGACGTTAAGAAATCTTTGCTTTCTGGGTACAGAACTCACGCACGCTCTCACCTTGTACAGCATCTAGACTGATAGCATTAACTTATACCACTCAAACAAAGGACAATTTTCATATTCTATATATCTAATAAATTAAACCTGTAAATAAAGGTATCTTCAACCAAGGCTATGTGCTCAGAGATGACACAGAATCATCAGGAAGATCATTGTCTTCCTCTGACATACTGCTGTGGGAGCTCATTTAAACAGGGATCAGCTACATGTTCTGTTGCAGAACCCATATAAGTGGTTTTCATTTACTATGTTATAATGCTTAGCATACAATAATACTCTGCTCAGAAAACTCCCTTTTCAGGCTTTCAGAATGATCACGTTGTTTAAAATACATCGCAATATGTAAATTATGTCAATTTCACCATATAAATATTCAGTTATGATTTTGAATTGTGATTTGCATTTGAACAGTGGAAATTTACAGCATGGGTCTGACTCACTCTGAACACTGGGGATATGTACTCTTGGTCCATCACAAACTCATTTTTCACCACTTCTTCCCTTACAACAAAAATAAACTACACCCCTAAGTACTTCAATTATCAGAATAATTATTTCTTCATTCACTGTAGAGAGTGAACAGATTTGCATTTTCCTCCTTGATTTAATAATGTGCTTGTTGAGGCTGTTGGTGCAAGCTCATCATCACATTCAGAGAGAGGTTCAACTGAGAACACGAGGGTCACATTTTCTTCTAATCAGTTTGGAGACATTGAAAAAAGGGCTGCAAATGCTAACTTAAATGAAATTCTGTCAGGAGATATAAGGGTGGCAAGAAATATTGAGCAAGTTTGGTTAACTTCGTCACTATCCAATGAGAAACCAAACTTGGTGATAGGTGATTTGTACTTTTTCAGATAAAATGAAGGACTAAGTGTTCCTTTACAGGCTGAGAAAGTTTGAAGATGAAAACCCCAATTTAAAAAGCCATTGGATTATCTGAAAAGGCATTGTCAGAATGCTTAAAGTGGACCTGTTTCATTAAATCATCAAACGTTAATGTTGATACACGGTTTTCACAGGACAGAGATAAAATAAAGTCCTAATCTGTGTTTTTTTTCCTCATAAAAATATTAAATGTGCTCCATTTGTATTATATAATACCTATTCTGTGTATTTGCATTCTTTTATTGCTGTGTATAGTTTCCATTGTTGGCAGCTGAGGCCCTCATTCTCTTTCAAATACTAATTAGGAATTAGGTCTTGTTTAAAGCCACCATTTGCAGGATGGAACACAGTGCACATCCTTATACTGCTTATGGATTACTTTGGACACTGCCACTAAATAGACTATTAGTCTAATTGCTAGCACAACCCAGTGCTGTACACAAATCTGTTATCCAAATATGTTGTGGCTCTACTGGTATATGAGCTATCAAGTGACTTAAAGTTAATTTTACATACAGATGTCAAAATGAACATAACAGACATGCAGCACAAGCACAATGCACAGCAGAAAGGGATTGTGGGGATGCACTGAAGGGACACAGGCCATTAGTGAACAGTCCATAATTGATCAAAGTCCATGCTATGTGCTGGTTTATTAATGCAACGGCGCAGCGATGGTTGCGGGGAGAACACAACCACGCAGGCTGTAAATAATAATGAGGATTAGGCCTGATCAAAAGAAAAAAGCCCAGAACTGAGTGACTCCAGGAGTGAGTTAAGGCACTTTTGTTCATGTGGGAGATGAGAATTAGGACGTGAACAACAACGACTGGAAAGCCAGGGGAAGGCATCAGAGCAGTAAAGGTAAAGCATGGCACGCTCAAGACATCCAGCTCTCACGCCTACTTATCACTGTACGGGCCTTGGCTAGGGATCTATATATAAACACAGACTAACCCCATGTTACACAAGACCATTACAATGATTACTGGCTAAGATGTAGTTGCAAGCAAGATTTTACTGCTGATCACAGGCTTTTACACAGTGTGCAAAACTTCAGGAACATCTATTGAGTTACACCACCTTTGCACCTGCACAATGTGGGTCTCAATTGATTCAGGGCTTTCATTTTTTTTCATTTCTTTAGTCGGCTTCATCTGTCTGTAATTCACGCCTTTACTTAATGACATCAGTGATTAAAGATCCCAGGTAAAATCCTTGGACTTTGTTATTTAGTTAGTTAAGGGGGAAGAATCAATTTTACACATTAAGGTCAGTTAACTAGTCATTGGGAGGACTACTCCTGCAAATACACTGACACATTCTTTAATGGAAAGGCTGTGTTACACACTGGCAGCATGCTGTTTGAAAGACATGGGTGCTGACCAGGCAGGGAGGTTCAAAATACTTTAGATTCATTATTGGAGCTTGTCAGACTATGGTCTAGACTGTAGAAGGTATAAAACTTGGACATAGTCTCCATGACGTCTCCCATAGGTTTACACATTGGCTTTCGGCCACAGGGGTTGCTGCTTGTTCTCGGCTGAAATATCTTCACAGCTGTTGCATGCCATTATGGTTCCCAAAGGAATAACTCAGATGACTTTGGTGATCCCGTGACTTTTGCTGTAGCGCCACCATGAGGCTGACAAGTCTGGCTCAGAGTGAAATGTCTTGTTGTATGGCACAGCAGTGGCATCAAAATGTGATACAGACATTCCTCCTCCCCTCAAGATGAACTGTAATAATGTCTCTAAATGTGTCTAATACTACTAATCCTGGGTTATAAGTGAATAATGCAAAACTAATGGCATCCCAGTTAGCCTCAGATGCTACTAACTAAAGTTTTATATGTAAATGGCCAACTTACTTTATGTGCACCATCTATGTAAGCACTTACCTGGCTTAAACTATTCATGGTAAGAGCAGCCATCATTAATATTTAGTGCACACATTGTACATGCACAAGATTACAATGCAGTCCCTATTAGGACTCACTTCCTGCTGTGTGACTGTAGACTACACCACCTTCTTTGTCAAACAGCCCATTACACTGATTACTGGCAAAGGAAACACTTGCATGCTGGATAATAGCCATAACCCTTATATGGATTATAACCTGTATACAAAGCAAACTACTTAATGCTCTTACTGTGACACAGCAGTGTGTGTGTGTGTGTGTGTGTGTGTGTGTGTGTGTGTGTGTGTGTGTGTGTGTGTGTGTGTGTGTGTGTGTGTGTGTGTGTGTGTGTGTGTGTGTGTGTGTGTGTGTGTGTGTGTGTGTAATTGTGAGAGTATAACCAGGTTTGGCCTGACAAGAACTG